AAAGGAAAAAATTTATTTTATTTAATTTATATATATTAATTACGTTGCATGACAAACTTTAATATATTTTATTGATAACATATAAAATTTTATCTTAGTAAAAAACTTATCAATATTAACTTTTTCATCAAATAATAACTTAATTAAATGTAAATAAATATTGAAAAAGTTGATTGATTGTAATTAAAAAAAATAAAGATTTAAATTTTTTTAATTATAGTTTAGACACTTTTTATATCCTTAAAAAAAATCTTGTTCATTAATTTGATTTCTTAAAAGATGACAGTGAATAAAGGTGGTCATGAGTTGGATTGGATCAGGTTTGGATAGACTCATGTTTGATATTAATAGCTTATATACTTGTTTAGACTTGACTCAATCTGAAATTTTGGGCCTTAGAATTTTTCAAACTTAGCTCAAATTAAAAAATAAATCCCAAACCCACCCAAAAACTTAATTTATATAATAAAAAATTTTTAAATTATGATTATATTAAGTTTAATTGAATTATATTCAATTCACATATATATAAAAATTTAAAATAAAAATTATATATATTATTTTTATTAATTTAATTTTTATTATATAAAATAAATTTTAAATTTAATAAAATATATAATTTTTATTTTAAATTTTTATAGATATGTGAATTAATTTATATGTAATTCACATATATAAAAAAATAAAAATTATATATATATATATATGTGATGGGTCGGGTCAAGTTAGGTTGGACTTAGATCTTAAATTTTTTGTTCAATACATTATTTGAAATTTAAACGAATTTAAAAATTATATTTAAACCCATTTAACAAGACTTTAAATTTTTATTCAAACTTTTTTAAATTTTGGACAAACCATCGAATTTGGATAGATATCTAACCTTTCATTAGATTTAACATTCAACTACTCTTTAAATGATACGTTGGATTTATTGTAAGATCAATTTGACGCATAATTTCCTTGTGGGCATATCAATGGCCACCTATAGGCTCCAGTTAACATTTCTCTTTCCTCAATCAATTCATACTACCGTTTCTAATTACCGAGACTACCCTAGATTTTAAATACAACTTTGAAAACAAAATCACTTCTTTTGGAAACTTTGGACCACTTTGGGGTCAATTCATCTAAATTATCAGAAATTATTTTGAATAAAAGTTTATACTAATCAACAAGAATTAAACACGTTTTTTTTTTTTTTTAAATTAGAATCATAAACAACTATTATGATAATGTTTGGTATATAAAAAAAGTGGTTAGGATAAAATGATAATAATCTTATATTATGTTTAGTTGTTTGTAAAGAAAGAAATATAATTACAATGTGGATTAATCATACTTTTGGTATAGAATGATTCAATCCTCCTAAAATAAAAGAGGATTATTTTTAATCTATAGGATTAATTTTATATTTTCTATTATACTCTTAAAAATTATATTAATAATTTAAATTGTATAAACTTTGAGGAAAAATGATTTTTACTAATAAATAAATTATCTTATCATAATCTTTGCATACGTTAAATACAAAATATGATAGCATTATTTAATTTAATCCTATTTATAATATTATCTTATCTTATCCATTATAATTATGTATACCAAACATGTCCTACATTCATATAATTAATTAAACAATCAACTATTACATTATAATTTAATTTACAATAATTGGATAATTAACTAACGAATTAAAACATAATTAAACAATCAAACTCAAATACACTTAAATTTAAACTTAAAACCTCAATATTTTAAGATCCCCTCTAATTAAAGATATATATATATATATATATAATTACCAAAAATGTATCTAATAAAATTTATTATGGAATTCATTTTTTAACTCCACATAAAAGTTTAAATAATTGGTATATATGTTTTTTAAAAAAGTACTCTAATAATAAAAATGATTTAGTTAACAAAGGTTTATAAATATTTATAAAATAATTTTTTTAATTTTTTTAGATGTGTCAATTTTTTTTATATTTTTTCTTAGCCAAGAAATGAGATTTTATTTATATGTCAAAATTATGTTTTTTTAATATATAAATTCTTATCTTTTTATATTCTAAATCTATATTTTATGAAATTTTATTTTTGATATTAAAAATCATAAAATATTAATTTTATTAATACATTTAAAGTATACTAAAATCAAATGAAGAATATACAACAAAGTCCGCAAGAGGTGGTATATGTTGTAGTAACCAAATATGAATGGAGACACCATTTGTCTTATTTTATTTTAACTTAAATATAATTTTGTTTATATTATTATTATTATTATTATTAATTAATTAATTAATTAATTAATATTAAAAAAAGGGAAAAGTTAAAAAAATTTTTTAACTCTAATAGCTAAAATCAAGCTACTAGAATGTTTTTCTTCCCCAAAGGTCGTGCATTTAATGCACTAAAATTCTGCACTGCCTAACTTGACAACATGAAATTCGGTGACTAAAAGTCACCAAACAACTTCATTTTTTTCACAAAAACTTCAGAAAATCCATAAAAAAATCTCAAAAAATCTGGGATTTGAATCATAAAACCTCTATAAATAGAGCTAATTCTTATAAAACAAAAGGAATAGAAAGAAAGAAAGGAACATTGCTAAAAAGAAAAACACAAAAAAGTAAAGGGGTTGTGCAAAAAAAACAAAAAGAAACAAGAAACATGCACAAGCAAGAAAAAAAAAACACAATCACAGTCCTCTTTGATAGAGAAACTAATAGCAAACACATAAAAAATTTTTGTTCAGAAACAAAAAAAAAACCCTCATAATGAAATTATCGATCTAGGAGGTTTGAGACTTTTTTTTTAAAAAAATCTGATTTTGAAAGAGTGTTTAGAAAATAAAAAGGAGTAATTTGAAATTTTTTGGCATTTTTTAAAAATTGTTTCAAGTCACTAGAATTTGAATAAATTTAAAATTTTCGATAATTATTTGAATTTTTTGACCACCAAAATTTGAAAAAACAACTGGCAACTAAAATTTTTGAATTTTTTAGAACCATTGAAGATTTCGATCATCGGTGCACTGCAACAACCAGTTGAAATCTAGGCATCACAATAACTGGCGAAGAGGTGGGATTTCTAGAGAAAGAGGCTCTATTTTTTAGAGAGAAAGAGGAAAGGAAAAAAAAAAACACAAAAAATAGGTCTTTTATAAGCGCACCAAAATAAGACCATTTTAACGTCTTGACTCACCCCTCGACTCAGGTAGGATCCACTCGTGACTTGCCAAAAGATCTTACTTGTATGTAAGTTTTTTTTTTTTTTCATTTTATATTTATTTTTTAAATTTTATTTTATTTTTTTGTTTAATATTTTTTTTACAATTTATGATTCATAATATTTTTATATATATAGTTTTTTTTACTAAAATTAAATAATTATTAGTAATAATATAAAAAAGTACAACAATAAAATAAATAAATACTAAGATTTTAATTTAAAATAAAAGGATAAATAAAAATAATAATATTAAGGAAAAGTAAAAAGAGTTTTATTTTCTCATAATTTTAAAGTAAAATGTTGCTTAAATTTCACCAAGGTGTTTGGATAATTTTAAAAAATAATTTTTGCTAAAAAATAATAAAATAAAAAATAAAACTAAGGATTTGCTTAAGTTAATCCTTTATATGTAATTTTTAAAGAAAATTAAAAAAGTTTGATTTTATTTAATTATTGCGAGTAAAAAATAAAATTTTAGATTTTTTCATAGAGTTGAGATAGTCAAAAATTATTTTTACTAGAATAAAGATTTATTTAACAATATAAAAACAATAAATAATAAGAAAATTAATCAAAGTGTTTTTTTAAAATAAATCTCTTAATTGCCACAATATTTTTGTATTTCACCATAGAATTAAGATAATAAAAAAAAAAGTTTGTTTTTATTAAATAAATTATTCATTCAAATAATAAAAAAGATAAAAATAATCACAAAAAATTAAAATAATCACAATAAAAAATAAATAATTAATTAAATCCCTTAATTATTATTAATAAAAAAATGATTTTATTAAGGATCTCGTTAAAAAGTTGATATGATCCTAAAATCTGTCTAAAATTTTAAGATTTTGTTGAAGAGTCAAAATAATCTTAAAATCTATTTAATAAATTTTAAGAACTTGCCAAAGACTTGAAATGTTCCTAAAAATATTTTTAATAAATAAATAAAATATTTTACAAAATTTTAAGAATTTTGTGAATGATTAATTTTCTCGAAATATTTTTTAAATAAAGATTTTCTATAAAATTTATCAAAACGTTAAAAATTTTGTAGAATACGAAATAATAATAAATTAATTTCATAAGAAAAAAAAGGTTTTTTTTATATATAAATTTTAAGAAATTAAATTTAAATGTAAAAAAAGATTACATCGTAAAAAATTAAAGGATTACACATGTTTAATTAAAACCATTCTTTGAACAGATGACATGAGGATGTTAATATTTTCTTCACTCGTAATTATATTCTTGGATTCAACTTTGATTTTGCAGACCTAAATTTTTTTAATAAATTTTAATTAATTTTAAAATTTTTTATTCAAAATAATATTTTTGTGATCAATCACACCTAAAAAAAAATTATAACTCTAAAAATTTTTACTAAATTTAACGATTGAATTTCTGAACGAAAAATCGTTATGAAAATAAAATATAGGTGATATTTGCATCTGGTTATAAAAATGTTTAAATTTAACGAGGATCGTAGTAATTTTTGCTGATAATCCTGTGGTTTGTATAAAATATTAAACTTTTGTGTTTAATCTCTAACAATGTTAGAAGTAAAAAAAAAAAAAAAATTTGTTATAATGATTGCTGAAAAGTAAAATCTAGAAAGGGTGTTTTGGAGATTTTAAAGAAAAAGATCTGGTGGTATAGATGACCTGGTCAAGCAAGGTCAAGAGCGTTTGTAGAAGGGAATAAGGAGATGATGTGGCTGATAAAGAGAAAATCAGACTATCATTAAAAGCCATGGTGAAGGTGCTCTCAAGATGTAAGTGGGGAAAAGGGCAGATGATTTCTTCCAAGCGTAATTTAGTGGGACTCACCACCATGCAATACCTATATCAAATCTTTCTCTATTATTTAACCCTGAAATAACTCCAAAAATAACTCATTTTCTCCGTAGACAGAGAAGTGCTCCTTCGCAAAAGAAGTGCTTCTGGCGTTACGAAAATTTTGCCTAAATCTAAGGTACTTTATTTTCTTTTATGTGTTTCCATGTTGATTTTTATTAATGATTGTTGGGTCTGTTCTCTTCTTTTTAATAATATTATTTTTCTTGGATGTAATTTAATTCATTTTATTTATATTAGTATATATTTAATAAATTCAGCTCAAATTTAAACACATGCAATTCATTTTTTTATCCAACTGCGACATCTTTTGTGAAAAATGTTTGTTGCTGTCCCAATGTCTGCAGCTTTCTACCTTTTTTTTTAAGTTGTTGTTAAGATTTTGTTTTTTCTCTTTCTATAATGGATAGATAAGTGAAGACTAGTCGACTTCTTTTGTTAGCTGTTTTAGTTTTTTTTTAACTTTTGTAAAATAATGTGGTTGTGAATATTATTTCTAATGATTTTTTTTTTATAGTTGTTTGTCACGGTCATCATTAAATGGTGGCTTTAATACATGAACAATGAAAGCATACATGCTTTTGTTATGCTAACTTAATTACCAGGGGTGTTTGCTATTATTTTTGCATTTGACTGCCAAACTCTTAACTGTTTTCACTTTTCACAAGAAAATAGAAAAGATCTTGAGAAACCAAAGGGAAAGAGAAACACAAAGGAGATAAACAATAAAAGAAGCAGATGCCATGCAAAGCTTTATTACTTTTTTTTTTTAACTCAAAATTTATTGTTTAAATCTAATATTCTATGCTTGAAGGCATCGTTTTTGTTAAAAATTCTGACAAACTTTTAGGGCTTTACTTTTTGTTGTGATCCCAGATACCAGTCCTACGATCTCCATTGTTTTTAACCCTTTGGAAAAAAAAAAAAAAAAACCTTTCTTTTTACATTTTCCGGGCCACAATTTGTGATGTGTTCATTTTATATCTGATGGGATTCCCAGGGGGCTTGTTTCATTCAAACCATCTTGAGATGAAAGAAAGACTTTTGGCTTCTCAAAATGGTTGGTTATATTTTTGCCTTTTCTTTCGATTCTCTCTCTTTTTTTTTTTAATTTTTTTATTTCTTTGCTCATGAGAGTTGAGAAAAGTAATGCGTTACTTGAATGGAAGATTAGTAACAGTTTTGTTACGGTGTTTCATTTTAAAATATTGTTAATTTCAATGTTCTTATAAAATTTAAAACGTTTTGATACAAAATATCATTAAATAGTTAAATAGTAGCGTTTATATTTATAAACATCACTAAAAACAAAAATTAATGGTGTTTATCGACAAAAATATTTTAAATAATCCTCTCTAAAAAATTAAAATGATTATTGAATGAGTTTTTGACAGAAAATATATTGAATAATCTTCTTATAAAAAATGAAAGCGATTATTGAAGACATTTTCTAGCAAAATTATTTTTCTAGCAAAATAAAAAATTGCTTAAGACAACCGGACATGGTATTGGTTAACCGGACCGATACTTTCTTCACATAGACACCAGGAAGGCAAAATTATTTTTTCCCAATTAAATGTTTTTTTTCCAGCTCATTAAGCTGCGGTGGGCATGAATTTCTATTGTTGATCAATTCCTATGGCTATGATGTTAATTCAGTAAGATGCATCCAAATTGATATGCACATGTTTATTGTAAGATGGTGTTGGTTTGGGAAGATGGTGAGTTTTCCCTCCTAAAGTGAATGAATTTTGCAATTGTAACGTTGAATCTGGAGTGCACGCAATGTCATTAATAGCTACCTAGGAACTATAACATATTGGACTCCAAAGCATAAAATATAATGTTTTCGAAGCAGAAATAATAGGTTTTGTGATTTTCCCATCTTTTAATATGAACCTTACAACTTATTTTCTCAGAATTTCAATTCTAAATATGGAATTTGTACGTATTTGAGTAAGTCCCACAACTTTTGTTCCGTAAAACTGCAGGAAAGTTAGAGATTTTTTGTTTAGTTTTGGTTGGTAGTTTACAACCTATTTCTCTCCACATATATTTTCATATTCAAAGGTATTCGGCAATTTCTTCCATTATATGGATTCCATAAAGGGTTTGATGGGTGGTCACTGGTCAGCAAATTTAACCATCAGTGGTAAGGACCTTGAAAAATAGGCTTCTGTTGGGATAGAGTTAAAATGCTGGACCCCAATGTACCTTCGCAGAGACCGTAGTGTTGTTTGCATTAACCTATCACATTTTGTTTTAGCCTCATAAGGTGCTATAGTGATTTTGGTGGAACTGTTGTATTTTTGGACTATATAATGCTGTTCTATTAGCTGTTGAATTGTTATTAATTATTAGCATTTGGTATTATACTTCATCATTGATTGAGCCAGTGCAAACTCATGGAATTTTACATGATAAATTGAGCTAGATTGATTTGCAGGTCATAACTTTAAACTTATTTTCTCTTTCTGTGCATATTGTTGTAAGATTTGTTATTTACACTGGTCAACCATCAATAAATAATATTCAATATTTCAATATGAAGTGTGTTCGTTTAGTTATGAGAATTGGAACTGATAGCGTTTGTGTTTCCAGGGTTTATAGAGAAGAATAACCAAAAACAATGGGTGCCAGTGGTAGGATGCCTGTCCCCAGCAACAATAATGAAGAAAAAGAAAGTCCCCTCCATCGAGTTCCCTACGAGAAGCCTCCATTTACTCTCAGTCAGATCAAGAAAGCTGTTCCTCCCCATTGTTTTCAGCGCTCCCTCCTTCGTTCATTCTCATATGTTGTTCACGACCTCTGCTTAGCCTCTCTCTTCTACTACATTGCTACGTCTTATTTTCACCTTCTTCCATACACTCTTACCTACATTGCTTGGCCTATCTATTGGTTTCTCCAAGGCTGCATCCTCACAGGTGTTTGGGTCATTGCACATGAGTGTGGTCACCATGCTTTCAGTGACTACCAACGTGTTGACGACACTGTTGGGCTGATCCTCCACTCTGCCCTTTTAGTTCCATACTTCTCATGGAAATATAGTCATCGCCGCCACCACTCTAACACGGGGTCCATGGAGCGTGATGAAGTGTTTGTGCCCAAACCCAAATCTAGAGTATCATGGTATTCAAAATCCCTGAACAATCCACTTGGCCGAGTTCTGTCCTTTGCAGTCACACTGACTCTTGGCTGGCCATTGTATTTAGCTTTCAATGTTTCAGGCCGACACTATGATCGATTTGCTTGCCATTATGATCCCTACAGCCCCATTTACTGTGATCGTGAAAGGCTTCAAATTTACATCTCCGATGCTGGTACATTTGCAGCAACTTATGTGCTCTATACAATTGCTACAGCAAAAGGGTTGGTTTGGCTTTTATGCATCTATGGGATGCCGTTACTTATCTTGAATGGATTTCTCGTTTTGATTACATACTTGCAACATACTCACCCAGCACTGCCACATTATGACTCATCCGAATGGGATTGGCTGCGGGGAGCTCTGTCAACTGTGGATAGAGATTACGGGGTGTTGAATAAAGTCTTTCATAACATCACGGATACACATGTGGCTCATCATCTCTTCTCAACAATGCCACATTATCATGCAATGGAGGCCACTAAAGCAATCAAACCAATACTGGGCAAGTATTATCGATTTGATGGAACTCCAATTTACAAGGCTATGTGGAGGGAAGCAAAAGAGTGTCTTTACGTCGAGCCTGATGAGGGTGCTGATGGCAAAGGTGTTTTCTGGTATCGCAACAAGTTCTAATACCGGTCGCTGCCAGCCAGCTGAGGTCAATGAAAACGTAGTTAGACTACTGTTAACTGGGCAAGTGCGAGTGCTACATTAAATAAAAAATGGTAGAAAAATGTAGAAAAGTTGCCGACTAGCTTTATGTTTAAGTTCTGCCTTAATAAAAGATGGTAGAAAAATGTGCAAGTGCTGCAACAAGTATTGTCGCGCATGGTAGAAACATGCTGTGCTTTAATTAAACTTTTTCCCCCTCTAAGCTCTAGTATTAGTTTTATCTTATATATATCTATGATAGGCAGGTAACTATATCACTTCTGTCGCAATGATATCGGAAGAATAAAAATTTATCTACGTTTTTACTTTAATTAAAAAGAATGTGAAAGGGAAATGTCAGATATTTGTTGACATCACATAATATATAGATGATGGTTCTCTATTAAATTGGTTGAGCACAAAAATATATTACACTACTTTCTTTCCTTTCTTTTTCCATTGATAAATATAATTTTCTTATTATATGATTTATCATACATATAAATGGACTTAAGCAATTATCTAAATTGATAACATTGCCCAACATAAATTTTGAAATGTGTTTGATAGTATCATGTTTTTGTTAACGAAACAACATATACAAGTTAAAATTTTAAGCAGTACATAATCAAATAATCCCTTATACACAACATTTTTATTGCCCCCAAGAAACCAATGAATAAAATAATAATATCAATTAACAAACTGATCAACTAGCATAAAATCAATTAGCGAAAATCGAATTAAAAATTAATCAACTAAACTTACACAATCAAAAATGTTTTTGAACTATAATTTAATAATTATTTAAATTTTTAATATTTTATTACAATCAATCAAATTTTTAATTTTTTATTTTGATTCAATCGAAATCTTAAATAGATGAAATTTAGTTATGTGACAAAATTTAATCAATCAATTTTAAAATTATAATTAATTGAATCCTTACAATGATCTTAGAGAGAGGAATAGAGAAAATAAAGAAAAAAATTTATTTTATTTAATTTTTACATATAATAATTACATCATGGGATAAACTTTCTTTATTTATTAATATCACATAAAATTTTATCTTAATTGATAAAAAAAAATTAATGGTATTAAATTTTTTATCTCAATAAAAGTTTAATTGGATCCAAATAAATATTAGAGATATTGATTAAATGCAATAAAAAAATAAAAACTTGGAAAATATTTTAATTGTAGCTTAGGTCTTTCTATACTCCTTAACCTATAATATTATATATCGTGATCTTATAATCTTTATTTGGAAAAGGATCTTATAAACTATTAACACATATAATAATTTTACAATCTAACATAATATTAATTTAAATAATTTATTCTATTATCATATTTAAAACATTATTTAAGTTTTTGGAAAGTAAATATATCTATAAATAAGAAAATCTCTAGAGAAGGGAGGGAAGACTTAACCTTAGACCTAACCATTTTAAGAAAGGATAGAAATGGTAACATCCAATGAATATGCAGGTAATAAAGGCAAAAATGAACATTTTGTTGTCATTCTTGCCATGTATTTTCAAAAGAATCAGATACGCTCTTATAAAAGAAATATACGAGTCCCTTGCATATTTAGCCTTCTACTTTCTTTATTTCAAGGTTTTTAGTCATGAAATGAGCTTTTACTATTTTTGTAATAGACGACCTTTAACTATAAAACGAACCATACGAACTAATGCTTTTTCACAAGTCAAAGTTACAATTTTCGCTTTGATGCCTCCTGCCTCTATATCTTCCAATATCCCCTATGTCTAACGGTTACAAGTTCACCAATGCTTCAAACTTAAACAACGCGTATAACCCATTTTTCCTCAATCCCAATTTAAATGAGTCTGGCCGGGGCCTCACCAACTCGTTGCTTCGTCCCTCTAATCGAACCAATGGCTTCAATAAAAGAAATCAATCTGCTATTGGTTTTGGCAGACTTGACATTAGCCAAATCGCCTAACATGAGAGAAGAAGAAATCTTTCACCCCATCTGCTAAAGCTTCAGAACATCAAGGACAACCTTCCTCCCGAATACCAACCAGGCTTTCATGGGACTGTTCTCATTGAGACGAAGCCAACCCTGGACCGCATTTTGACTCTAATTCCCCAACCAAATGGTAGCAGCAGCCTCAATTGGGTTCAGATTCAACCCACCGAATTTAATTCCGTGAACAACGTCGACCTGTTCAACCAAGTAAACGGTCTAGCCGTCAGTCAAACTGATGTGCCTTGTAGCGTCCCTGTTCCAAACTTCGTAGGGAACCAATCAGTACTGCAGCCTACCTCTCCAAGCCCTAATAATCGTATTGATGGCGCCACTAGAGTTGAACTTCTCATCAGTCCATCACCGTTGAGCGTACACTATCCGTTTGAAATAAAGGATCAAAACTCAAGTTATAATTATTATCAAGTAGATGGTGTACTGGGATGATCAGTCATTAAAACCCAAGATAGAGATGTTAGCCCTGCCAATTCAAGCACTGATCTTATTCCTCGCCTAGAGGAAGCTCCTCATAACCATAAAAAATGATAGGTTCAAGGTCTGGGCTGAAGCTCAATATATTCCAGATGCTGAAAATGAACTCAGAAGGATCAGGAATGATGTCAGGATTCATAGTTGCCTCACAAGAAACATGGTTCATATTATTGCCCTTTGCCTGAATGCAAAGACCTCAGTCTTCTCTGCATCACAACTATTTGGAGCTTATACGCTGGCTTATCACTATAGTGGTAAATTGTAGAGGAGAAAAGAGAAGAGAAGAGAAGCACAAAAGTACGGTACTGAGAAAAACAATCTCAGCCGTGGTATCACAAAGGACGGTTTTATAACAGTTATGCCAAATCCACTTGAATTATAAATTGATGAGGACGGGTCCTATGGAAAAGAATGGCTGTTAAAAAGCAAAGAGTCGTGTTTAGAATCAGGACCACTCAAAGCGTTGCTCAAAACGAAGAGACTATCAATGTTGTCCTAGCTTGATATTCTTCAAACTCATGCTCTATAAAATTGTTTTCGAGATTAAAAATAGCAATGAAAATAAGATTATTTAACATTATAGTAATATTAAGATTGATGGTGTAATATGTGTGAATACAAATATAACGATGGCAAGGAACTGAATTGAAATGAAAATAAAAAATTACAATTAAAGATATTAGATTAAATTTTATATATAATTAAATTTATATTATATGTTTTATATTTGTAAAATTAATAAATAATAAAAAATTACTAAAATTATTTTTATATCAAATAAAATTTAAATTTATTTATACTTTAAATAAATGCATAGCTTAAAACCTAAAAATAAAAAAGCAATAAAAAATTAAAAAAAAAAAAGGGGAATGAAGCACAGGGTAAAAGAGAAAGTGGGAAAATTAACAAAAAATAATTTTAAAACTTTTAAGTATAAAATACCTAAATAAAAAAAAATTGTTGAGACTTATACTTAAGCAAGAGTAAAAATAAAAAAATTTGGTAAAAATGGAAAAGGAAGTCCCACCTTAGGGGATAATTTTTTTACTGAACCCTTTTTCCTTCTAGTCTCCGGCAAGAAAGACAGTGAGATTGAGAGACTTTAACTGCACCATATGGTGCTATTCAAATGCACGCCACAATGCAATTAAAAACAAAAACTGCTTGGATACCGTCGCATTGGGGTTACGATGGTATCCAAATGCACCTTCAGTGATCTAGTTCTAATAATAATAATAATCGTGGTTTAATTTTCGTTTCATTTCTTTTTTATCTTTTCGTTTGTGAATTTTATTATCTTTTATGTTTTGCCAAATTTTGATATGATAAAAACATTTGTATGAACTTATTTTTGATTCATGCAATCTAATCCAAGAATTAAGGGTATGTTTTAATATTTCACTAGATTTACTGATCTCGCTCCGCCGAGGGATTTTTTCTTATATATTTATAATTTTTTTTAATTAATCTTAATATAATTGCGCTTCATCTTGGTATTATAGGTCCTATATTATTCCTACTACCTAAAATTTATCATTCCTTCACAACCCAATGTCCCCTTCAAGATCTCCAATGATTCGAGCTATTCAAACCTCAAGGCCTCTTTGAACATCCTGAAATAAAGATCTTATATTATCAGAGACGCGCTTCAAGTCAAAGGTGGCTGTCTTGTCTAGCTCCACCCCAATAAACCGAATGGCTTTTTTAGATTGAATTTCCATCAACTTTTGACCTGTTGTAACCATGTATCTCTACAGCTGGAATGTCTCCTTAAGGAAATGCTCCAGAGTACTTTTTGTAGTACTACAATCTTCTTGAATCGTGTCTAGATCATCGTCATGCTGAAAATTCCAGTTAACAACAAACAAAGAAGAAAAAGTTAAAAAATTTGCATGGATAAAAGTTGCTGATCACCAGTGAAAAACATTGATATCAGTGGAAGCCAATAAATTAGAAATTAGGTAATTTGCTTACCATCCGCTTACAGAGATCATCAGTCTTCCCTTGAAAGGACTGGTAGAGGCTGACTTGTTTATTTAGCAAAGGTATCAACAATAGAAACCTTTTATCCCATTGTCACTGCCTTTTATATCATCTCCACTTTCTTGCTTTCTTGTTAGTCTTTCAACCATGAGAAGTTGTTGCTTCAGCCTTTTGATCTTGTACGAAACTCCAAGAGCTTGTACTTAAGTACTGGCCAGCTAATGCTGACTTGTCAATATAATCGACTATTATTGATTCATTAGTTTCGCTCTGAATTGGATCTGGGTTGGGATATTCTCTCTTCTTCAAACTCCTTTTCAAGTGATTGGACTATCAATCTGATGTTCTTGGACTCGTTGAAAGATGGGATTGCCTCTTCTTTCTTGGCATGTCTTTCTTGAGACTTATCTAGCAAAGTTGTTTTTGTTTCTTGCTCCACAGTAGACTTTTTCTATATAATATTGAGTTTTGGCCAAAAGGAATCATGTGATAATACTGGATCATGCAAAGATAAATTTAACAGGTTGTTCTTCTGACAACTCAGAGGCTTTAATTGTGATGCAAACTGCTCCCTCAAGGAATCCAATTCTTCTTCTCTCTCCAGTGGCAAGGCCTCCAATTTCATATTGTCCTGATTGAGCTGTGACACATCCTGGTTTAGTCCTTCAACATGGGACAGCAGCTGTTTGGATTCTAGTTCCATACTCAGCAGACGCCAATGAAAAGCCTCTTAACTT